TGCTCCAGCTATGCTGCAGGGTCCAGGGCAGGCGGGTGCTGTGTTAGTCACCCGAACCTAGACGTGCGAGAAACACACAGCTGGAGCACGGCCCGCCAGGCGGCCTGGTTTCTAAACTTAGTACTTGCTGTTGCCATTTGAATTTTCGTTGGAAGAAAACCTCTACTCAGCCTGAAGCCAGGATCGTGAGGCGTGAGTCCAACTGGAAGCTGCGGGCTGGGGCTGCTCCTGGCTAAGTGCCTGCTTAGCGTGCGCGAGGCCCTGCGTTCAATCCCCAGTACCACAAAAAAAGAAAAAGAATTAACTAGAAGCTGGACCCGAGGCTGGGAGCACTTCCACGCTTGCAGTTTGACTAACCTTTTTTATGAGCGCATTACTAAAGAAACGTGAGCTGCTGGCTTTTCGTTACTGTAGCTCAGTCCCTCCGAGTTTCGTCCCCACTGAGTCATCGAGTCTACAGGTGACTGATAATCATCTCCGCGCCACCGCAGCTCCAGTTACGGTAACTCGGCAACAGGGGACCCGAGCCCCACAGCGCAAGGTCTGCCCTGGCCACAGGGCTCTGCTCATTTCCACGTGGGGCCCGAGAAGGGGTGGGGGATGGGAGCCGCAGGCCTGGACAGGGAGAGCAGTCTCCAGGGGGAAGGTGACAGAGGTCAGGACACGCCCAGCCCACCTGTAGGCCTCAGGGCCTCTGTCGCAGGTGACAGCATGGAGCACTGTGATGATCCTCAGGAACTGCAGCGCATGGGAACCCTGACAGGGCCAGAGCACCCAGAGCCACCACCGCAGCCACTTGTCCGCTGCCTTGGCGCTGCTTCCAGGCCTGTGGCTGGCCTCAGGGTCCTCCTGCAGGGAATGTGTCAAAGACAGTTTTTTGATGGGAGTGAGACAGGGCCCCAGACGATTGCTCTGGCACAGGCTTACCTCCCTGTTGTGTCCCATCCAGTCCCAGGAGGAGCCAGTGTTCTTTGCATACCCTTGCGCCCAGGCCTTTGTCCAGAAGCTGTCAGGTTGGCCTTAAGTGGTGGGAACAGGACAAAGCCACCTGTGTGGGTAAGACTTTTCTCTGCCCTCCCTGGCCTTATGTCCTCCTACAATTCTGGTCCCCTTCCACATCACTGCCTTCCTGAAAGGCCAGCGTCACCTGCTGTTTGTTCGGGCCCCAGCCCCTGGCCGGGCCTTCAGGAAGCCCCTCAGCGCACCCCTCTATGGGTGTGATTGTCATTTTTATTCTGGAGTTTCCAAAAACCTAGGCCGCAACCATTAGGAGGCACACAGGACTTTTAAAAACTTTGATCCAGGACCATCAGCAAACTAAAGCACCTGTTTAGGCAGAGCACAGTAGCTAGGGTTCGATCCCCCATGTGCTGTGCTGGCCCTGCGTGCAGTGCACGCTGAGACAGCGATTGAGACTGGGCGTGGTGGCACGCGCCTGTAATCCCAGCACTTGGAAGGCTGGAAACGAGAGAATCACTAAGAGTCCAGTCTACGTAGCGAGATCCAGTAGGCCCTGTCCTAAATACAGGAAAACAACAACAAACAACAACTTTGATCCATCTGCCAAGAAAATCATTTTCCTTTGAGCTCTTTCAGTCTCTAAAAACATGGGCAGTACTGAAGAGAAAGCCTGAGGCTGACGCTGACACTCCGGTCTCAGTGCACGTTTCACGCTTGGTCACCAATTCCTGACCCTGAGCGGGGATCCCAGCCCCCAAAAGCCCGCAGCAATCGCTGATCACAGTGAGCACAAATTTGCTTTGCATGATCACCTCCTACTTGTGGCGAGTGATTCTGGGTTTCCATTTATGTTAGTGATACAAAATTTCCTTTAAATGTTTTAATTTAGAAAAAAGAAAATGTGAACTGATTCAAACAAATCAGGAAAAAAAGCACCACGCTGTGCTTACCTAGGGCCTTCTCCATGCCAGGAGCAGCTGTAGCATGTCTAGTGGCCCTGAGGGACCGCTACAATTACCAGGATCCGTTCACAGGCGGTCACACCACTAGAAACCGTTGGAGCCGTACCAAGCTGAGTCGGTGCGGCACTAGAACTCATTCTCTCAACTGCCACCTGGGCCAGGTGCACAGATCCTGCAGACCTGAAGGAAAAGACCTGAAAATGCTTTCTTTCCTATTCTTGGTATTGCCAGATGTGATGGTGCGAGCCTATAATCCCAGCACTAGGAGGCTGAGGCAGGAGGATCGCCCTCAGGGCAAGGGCAGAGCCATTCTGAACCACTACTGATATCCTGCGTCAAAAAAACAAAACTAAACTGAAAACGTATTTCTTGGTATATCTTTTTTTTTTTCTTTTTCTTGTTTTGATACTGGGGTTCAGACTCAGGACCTCTCACCTGCCAGGTCTTATGCCCCTGAGCTATCTCCCAGCCCCTACTTGGTATATCTCTAATCAGATGCTTCTCTATGCATGTCGTGAGCAGTGCCACTTTCTGCCTTCATTTTTGCCCCCCTCTTGACGAGGAATCCTTTCTTACCTCTTGGACAATCTAAATCCCATCAGTTTATCAAGACTCTTTTCAAAATTTACAATTTTCCCGGAATACCTCCCTCCCCTAAGTACTCCTGAAGTCTTTGCTTTCCCTTAGTATATATACTATGTACAAGACAGGTGTGGTGGTGTATGCTTGTAATCCAGCAGTCTGGAAGGCTGAGGCAGGAGGATCACAAGTTCTAGCCCAACCTGGACAATTTAGCAAGATCCTGTCTTCAAATAAAAAAGGGTGGGCCGGCCAAATAGCTCAGTGGATTAAAGTGCCTACAAGCAGGCGCAGGGACAGGGATCCAATGCCCCGGCCTGCCTCGCCGGCTCCGCCCCCAGGGTGCGCTGGGATGGTGATTGAGACTGGGCATGGTGGTGCGGGCCTGTAATCCCAGGTCTTAGGAGACTGTAAACAGGCGGATTACTACTAGTCTGATCTAGTAGTGAGACCCTGAACACCCTATAGACCCTTCCCTAAAATAAAAAAAAAAAAAAAAAAAAAGAGTGACAACTAAAAAAGAACTTGAGATATGGCTCAGAGCAGAGGCCCTGGGTTCAGTCCCCACGCTGGGAGAAATAAGACAGACCAATATATCATTTCCACCCAACCATCTTACACTTGCCTAGACAGTACTTAAGATTTCTCCCCTGCCTGTCTCACATGTGGCGTTTGGAATAAAATCCAAAGCCCCAGAGAGCGGGACAGCCCTTCACAGCTCCTAACCTGTAGCCTTTCTGAAGCTCCATGTGAGCAGGTGGCTCCCCTCCCGCTGGGCTGCACCCCGGCCCTGGGTCTGCTGGTGCTTTCTGTACTCCATCACCAAACCTTGCATGCACTGCCCAGTTCTCTAAGCCTGGCCGCCTAGGAAGCGGTTATGCAAGAGCGGCCCAGGGTGAGTCAAGCACCCCAGAGCCGAGGTCAGTGAGTGACTTCACCTCACCTCCAGCCCCAGCTCGCTCGCCACACTCCCTGTTCCTCCTGCCACTTGGCCCTGTGTCGACGCAGCCCAGCCCAGGGCGTGGGTCAGTCCCTGTCCCAGTCCCTGTCCTTGCCTCTCTCTGTCTCTGTCTCCCTCCCTCTCTCCTGACACACAGCACCCACGTACTCTGCCGGCGCCGACTCTTGTTTTCAGAATCTCTCTTTTTTAAAAAAATTAATTTTATTGAGAAAGAAATAGCAATGAGACAGTTTTAAAACAAGTTAGGACAGTTACAATAATACATTGCATATTGTCTTCATAGTAGTTATTCATAGTACAAGATGCAGACATGATATCTTGTCTAAACACTATTAATATAAATCTTTCTTCTCATTGAACTAAGAGAAAGTAGTTGTAGGGGCCGAGGAGATGGCTCAGTGGAATAAGTGCTTCCCTGGCAAGTGCAAGGGCCTGAGTTCAATCCCCCGCTCTGGGGAAAAAAAAAAAACTACGGCCATGCTTGGAATGCCTGTCATTCTGGTCTTATAAATGTGTGCTGCTATGGTTAGGATAGATATATAGCTACATTCTCTTAATTCAGTGAATAGAGGGATTTGTTCTAATAGTGTTTGTAAATAGGGTATCATGTCTGCATCTTGTACAACAAGTAAGCACTGGGAAGAGAGTATGCAATGTGTTAATTATTGGAACTGTCCTACCAATTTGATTTGAAACTGTCTCATTGCTATTTGTTCCTCAATAAAATTATGGAAAAAAATAAAATAAATAAATGTGTACTGCTTCTAATGTCATATCAATTACTGCTATACTCTCTCGCAAGTAAATGTTTGTTTTTTTAAAAAAAAAAAAGTAATAAAAGAAAATGAGGCAAGAAAAAAATGTCATAGGACTGTCCTGCTACAGTGTTGTACATGGTTAGATTTCAGAATCTCTCAGCAGCTAACTGGAGAAGTGAGAGGAGGCGACCGCAGGTGTCAGGTGTGAGACAGACCACGCCTCGGATGCACCTTCAGGCGGCGAGGACGCCGCTCTGGGCAGGCACGGGGTCCCCGGGGCTCCTTCCCAAGGCCGCTCTAGAGCTGCTGCTGGGCGCTGCTTGCCTCCCGCATCAGCCCGCACGGAGCTGAAGTCCGGGGCTGTTTGCTCTGACCTCTGTAGCTATTTTCTGATCCCACTCTCCAAAACGTCCATGCCCCTGGCGACTGTTAGCACAAGAAAAGAACCAGCCAGAGAAGGGCCTGGGCAGTGGCTCCGTCTGCTGCGCGCTCTGGCAGGCCTGCAAGGCGAGGCCTGCGCCGCGCCCCTCCGCACAGCGCAGTCTGGCCTGCTCCTTCCCACCTCCGTTCTGCTGCACAGACGCAGCCCACCAGGGCCAGCCCTGCCCTGCCTTTGCCTGTGGGCTTTGGCAGCCGTGTCCCTGAGGCCGCAGCGTGGAGCCAGGCTGTTCCCGAGTAGCGGCAGCTTCTGCTTCCTCATCTTGAGGACTCTGGAACAGCAGCCCCCCACGTTCTGAGCTGTGCAGTTCCCTGCGTAACCCTCCCTCTCACTCCTTCCAGGGGAGAAGCGCCACTGCTTCGACGTGAGCTATAACTCCAGCTACCTGTACGAGGACAGTGAGATGATGCAGACCCGCATGGACCAAGCCATCAACAGCGCCATCGGCTACCTCGGTGCCGAAGCCCTACGCCCCCTGGTCCAGACACCGCCCGCGCCCCCGGCCTCCGAGATGGTTCCGGTCATCAGCAGCATGTACCCCATAGCCCTCACCCGGGCCGAGATGCCCAATGGTGCCCCCCAGGAGCTGGACAAGAAGAACATCCCCCCGCCAGAGAAGAGCCTGCCTTCCGACAGAGCCCTCTCCCCCAACAACAGCGGCCACGACTCCACAGACACCGACAGCAACCACGAAGAACGCCAGAATCACTTCTACCAACAGAACCACATGGTCCTGCCCCGCGCCCGTAATGGGGTGCCACTCCTGAAGGAGGCCCCGCGCGCCTACGAACTCCTCAAGCCCCCGCCACTCTGCCCAAGAGACTATGTCAAGGTGGTTACCAAGGATGGGGAGGTGACAGATGTGTTCCGGTGTGACCACTGCCGCGTGCTCTTCCTGGATTACGTGATGTTCACCATCCACATGGGCTGCCACGGCTTCCGAGACCCCTTCGAGTGTAACATGTGTGGGTACCGCAGCCAAGATCGGTACGAGTTCTCGTCTCACATCGCCAGGGGCGAGCACAGGGCCATACTCAAGTAGGGTCTGGCCAGGCTGAGGCGCTCCCCAGGGACTGCACACCCTGTTAATGGCCTCCAAGTCCAGGATTCCTTCTACACCATTCTTAATAAGCAGAGAAACACTGTCCATTCCGGAATGGCTAGTTGCTCCTTGTGGGATACCTTTGTTTTCCCACCAGTTGAATTTTATGAAATTTAAAAGACCAAAGAAATCTTTAGTCTTTACCTTTTCTTTCTTTCTTCCTGTTTCTTTTGTTTTGTTTTTTGAGACAGGGTCTCACTGTGTAGGCATGGTGGTCTCAAACTCACAACAATCCTCCTGCCTCGGCCTCCTGAGTGCTGGACGTGCAGGTCTGTGCCACCACACCTGGTTCAGTCTTAGTCTAAAAGAGTTGAAACAACTTTCAAATTTAGCACCACTAGACTTTTTTTTTTTTTGAACTGGGAGCTAAATCCAAAGCTTGCAGCAGAACTGCACCCCCCAGCCCTGCCTAGATTTTTCTATTATTATTTTGAGACAGAGTGGCTAAGCGACTAAATTGGCCGTGCTGGACTTGAACTCACACTCCTGCCTGCGTCTGCGGGAGCGCTGGGACTACAGGTGTGCGCACAGCGACGCTCAGCAGAACACACCTTTAATCTTTCTGTTTTTGAAAGAGGTTTTCAGTGTTTTATGTTTGGGGGTACTTTTGGTGTTGGGGCCCACAGGCCTGAGCCTCCGCCTTAGGAGACGCCTGGGGTCTGTGGGCTGCGCCCAGGTGGACAGAGGCTCCCGGGCGGGCGGCGCCTGCTGCTCCCGCCTGCTCGGCTGGAGGTTAGGGGGACCCCGGTGTGACCTGAGCCTTACGCGTGGCACTCAGGCACACATCCGGTGCCTTGCGCACCCCGTTTCCCGCCCTCCACCTCCCGCTCCCCTTCCAGTGTGAGGAAGTCTACAGAGCGAGGAGCAGAGCAGCCCGGAGGCAGCCTCTGTCGGTGCCACAGCGCACCGCACCGCTCAGGTCGCACGGAGCCAGCGGTCCAAGGATGTGTCGGGCAAGCTGTCCCCAGAGGGTGTCGCGCAGGGACACGAAGCCTGCGATTTTCGTCCTCCTGGAATTGGACTGGGCAGGCCAGGAGCCCTCCCGCCCCTCTGCGGGAGCGCGGTCGCCTTCCCGGCCACTGCTGCTCCCTTCCCTGACAGCAGCGACCCTGTTTTCTGCACGGAAGCCACAACCCGGGCAGGGCCGTATCCACCTGCCCTGCAGGCCCGGCCGGCCGGAGCGCACCCCGGGCTGCGGAGCGGGCGCGCGCTCTGCTGGACGGGAGGCCGAGACAGGAGGCGCTCCCCGAGATCGCTTCCTCCCTCGGACTCCGATGCAGGTGCCCTGAGCTCGCCAATCTAAGGAAGCCTCCGCGCAGAGAGGAGCAAGCTGGGGGCGCAGCGCGGCCCTGCTGCAGAACCGCGGGGGGCGCCGCCCTCCGGGCCGAGGAAGAGCGCTGGGGCTCAGCCAGAGGGGCACGCTCGGGCAGGCCTACGCTCTCGCTCCCTTCTGCTCCCCTGACGAGGAGAACTCTCCCGTTTCGCCAGGAAAACTTTTGCTCTTGTTTCAGACATCGCTTTGGAGTGTGCCGCTTTCTCCCCATGTAGCCCCTCAGGATGTGTAATCGCCATAGTGTGTTTTAAATAAATTGGACAGAATCCTCGCTGGCCATGTACGGGTGCACTGTGGCTCTGCAGCCAGGCCAGCAGCTGGGTCTCACTCTGTGCAGGTAACAGATTTCCGTCGCTGAAGGAGGCAGAGCATTTTTCAGATGGTGCGCACACTGAGGCGTCCCGAGGCTCGGAAGGAACACAGAGGCCGCTGCTGTGAATTACAGGGAAAGAAGGTGTGAGACCTTTAGCGTACTGGCCCACGTAGGGGAATTAAAGACCCAAACACAACAAATGGGACTTGCCTAGAGTTTCTAAAAGAAACAATGGGAAGAGAAGCCAAACAGCGATAAAAATTGTAAGGGGGGCAGGGGGACAGGGTGGACGACTTGTGTAGCAGTTCCACTGTAGAGCCCTGAAAGTATTTAACATGTTTAAAGTACAAAACAGGGCCAGCCATCATGGCGCACACCTATAAACCCAGCACTTGGGAGGCTGAGGCAGGAGGATCTCCTCGAGCTCAAAGCCAGCCTGGGCTACAAAATGAGTTTAAAAGCAGCCTAAAATTACAGAGATCCAACTCAAAAAATGAATAAATAAAATACAAAATAAAACTTAAAAGCCACCTCTAAAATGAAAAAACTGAAATAAACCAACCTAATCATTTGTTTAAAAAAGAAGGGCCAGGGAACTGGCTCAGTGGAATAAGCACTTGCCTGGCAAGCGCAGTGGCCTGAGTTCAATCCCCTGTTCAAAAAAAAAAAAGCCATCTAGTGGGCCTTCCGCCTGTGCCCTTACCCTCCCGTCCCCATGGGACAGGAGCTGCTGTGGGCCAAGCCAGCGTCTGCAGGAGAAATTCTGTAGAAGACCTGCCAGGCGCTGGCGCAGAGAAGCCGCTGCAGTCCCAAGAACACCAGGCTCCGAGGCAAGCCGTGTGGATGGGCTCTTGGGTGGAGGGCTCTCCCGCGACATTAAACTCCTGAAGGTCTAGATAAAGGAGTGGAGCCACAGGGCCCTTCCTCTTCCTCCTCCTCCATCAGGCGACAGGGTTCTATCTGGCGTCAGTTTTCTATAAAAAAAAAAAAAAGCCCCAGGCACGGCCCGAGTTCTGGGCAGCCATCCTCGGGGATAAAGGCATCAGTCCTGTGGTCACCATGGCCAAGCAGGCTCCCGGCGGAGACTCCAGCCCTGCCTCCAGCTGTTGCTTCTTCTGAAGTGGTGGCAGACAGACCCAAGGTGAGTGTGACACGAGGGACCCGGAGCCCACTGCTCAGCCTGAGGGGCGGACGCCTGTGTGACCCTCAGGTCACCCCTGAGCTCCAGGACCACACTGACCACGCAAGCGCGAGCTTCCACATACACATCTTCTTGTCCTTGAGGCAGGGCTTCAGTAGGTAGCCTGCACTCATGGCGAGCCTCCCGCCTCAGCCTCCTGAAGGCTGGGATCACAGGCGTGCCCGGCTTCCCCCTGCACTGCATGACTCTTCCCGAAAGCCTACTGTGGGGCCTGCAGATGCCCCCCATCCTTCTCGACCCTGTGAATTGGGCACCAAGCTCTGCACGAGTCCCATGGCCATTTGTAAATCCAGCACTGTGGCGGGGGTCCGGAGGCCTGTTTGCCAGTTGCTGTGCCCCTCAGTGGGCGAGTCCGGCTGAAGCACTGAACCTCTAAAACTAAGTTTTCTTGGCCCTCAATGAGTCAGAGTTAGACCTTCTCTGGGGTCCCTTCCAGCTTTCAATTTCTGTGTAATCATGCAGCAAACACATTTTCTAAGGCTTGAATGTTGGGGTGTAAACAGAAGCATCTATACATGAGAATGTTTCACATTTCTTTGGTGTGAAAATGGTAAGGTGTTAAGTTTTTCCTTTAACCACTGCGGCGCAAATCTGAAGACTGCAAGGAGGAGCAAAAAACAGGAAGGCACTGTGATCGTGCCCGGGGTCGACACACACACTGGCACCTGCAGCAGCTTGCCAGGCCCCGCCCCCTTTTTAAAGACAGGGCCTCGCTGTGTAGCCCAGGCTGGCCTCACACTCATGGAGATAGACCCTCCTGCCTCGGCCTCCCCAGTGCTGGGATGACAGGCGTGCGCCACCACACTCAGCTCTTCTTTTCACATTTTAAGAACTTGTTCTAGGGAAAATAAATTCTGCTTCCAGGAATGACTCCGTGGAGTCTATTTACAAATTGAGAGCCAGCTTTACAGACAGGGCTACCAGAGCCAAAACTCGCGAATTCCTGGTGGGTGGATGCCAGTCTAAAGGGCTGACACCGGGGCTCACACCTAGCTCCTGGCAATAAGCGTCGCTGTCACAGTGCACAATGGATGCTCCTTCTTGGTAGCACCGTGTCTGTCCCCAGAAGAAAGGGTCTTATGAAATCCAGGGCAGCCGCGCCAGTGCGCGTGAGCATCCAGCCACGAGGCAGGTGCAGGCTGCGGCGCCTCTTCGGCCTCACGCTGCGCCTTCGCTCTCTGCTGGACACCCAAGGCCCTGGGAGGGCGCTGCCCGGTACCTGTTCCACTCCCACGCACGCTGCTGGCTCCTGGGGGATGAGAGAATCGGGGCAGGGAGCATCCCCCCACTAGTGTTAGCATCTGCCAAAGAGGCCGTTGTGTCTGTCTTGAGATGGTGGACAGAGGCCCCTTCTGTCACCCCAGGGTGGGATGATGGTGGGGACCTCCCCCCAGCCCCTCCCTCACCCTGTGACCACTTTATTCTCCCGAGGTTGCTTCTGTGGCAGACAACCATCCACAAAGCCTACACATCTGTGGTAGCACCCTCAGGCCCAGGGTGGTCCTCCAGGGAGGACCTACAGCCAGGTGTGCTGGTGCCCCCCCATCGTCCCAGCCCTCAGGAGGCTGAGGCAGGAGGGTCGCAGCCAGTTCAAGGCCAGCCTGGGTTGCATAGTGAGTCCAAGGCCAGCCTGGACTACATAGCGAGACTCTGTCTCCAAATGCTTACACACACACACACACACACAAAAAAAAAAAAAAAAAAAAAAAAAAAAAAACCCCTCCACATTCTTAAATCCTGCAGCCATAGTCTGTACCGTGCGCAGGCCCACCTCAGGCTGCACCGCCTTGCAGTATGCCGAGGCTGCGTCGCCCGCTCCTTCCTTTCTCACCATCCCTCTTGCAGGCAGGCTCTCCCCTCACACCAGGCAACCACAACCTGGGGGCTAAGCAAACCCACAAAAGTTCCCTTGCAGCCAAGGTGCCGGGTTGGGGTGGAGGAAGCGAAAAGAGCGCCTCTGTCCCCAAGTCCTCTGCAGCTCTGGGGGTGCAGGGCAGCGGGAGCTGGCCGTCAGAACGGAGCACCCCACGGGGCCCAGCACTGGCTCACCTGCGTGGCCGCCTGTTCTGAGCCACTCCTGACTCGGCTCCAAACCTGGGCAGGGACAGAAGGTCTCACCTTTTAAACACAGGGCCCAGGATGAAAACGACCCAGCGTTCTGGCACACAGACAAGTGCTGAAGCACAGACCTTGGCGGAGAC